TCACGGTTGAAATTATGTCTGTGTTTGTATATCTGAATGGCTTCGTGTACAAACCTTTGATGGTGGTAGCCAGAGGGTTTGCAGAGCACCTTAGTCTCGGAAAAAAACAATTTCATGAGGAGACTTGTCATCGTGATTTTTTATTATTTTATTTTCATTAATTTTCATTTCATTTTTTTACCTACGTGACTTTACCGAAAGAACTAAGAGTATGAATCCTTGCAGTCACGAAAGCTTCAAATCTATATGAGAGAAACCCTGCTGCACGTGCAGGATATGCAGAGGTGGCTGCACCACAAGTCGGGAGTGGGGTCCCTGCTGCAGCACACACGTAGCCCCTTTATTTTCCTCATGGCACACCTTCAAACTGCGATCGATGAATTCAAATGAAGGGGCTCACTCCGCCACTGCTCTGCTGTGTGCTTACAAGTACAGGTAAAGGGTGCGGCCCTGAAATGTTTTGCTCACGTCACTACCGGTGGAAAGGCCTCTACTAAAGAGAACCGCTGTGGGTGGCATTCAGCCTTGCACTTCCACACTGCGCCTGACATCTTCCAAGAGGTGGATGGACCCACACTTTACCTGCCACGTGCGCCCTGCTAACCCGCTGCGGTATGACCCGCCGGGGCCACTTCGTTATAATCTTCGGGGCTGAAATGGGGCCACCACCAGAACTGTCTTTGAAACGCCGGGCCCTAACTGGGCACAACTTTCATTCAGGTGGACCTCGCGTAACGAACACCATCGACGCTATGAGCATTCGGCAAAAAGACGGCAGGAGTTCACAAAACGGGGGGTGTAACTGACCCCGCTGCGCTACGAGTAGGCCCTCCCCGCAGTGCCGGATTATCTTAGTAGCAAAAGTAGCTACATATGCTACGGGCCCCGCACTTTCAAGGGCTTCGAGCTTAATGCTTTCAAGCTATCAATTCCGGTTCAGTGATTCTGCAATTGCTCTATTACTATAGTACTCTACGTCCTTCACATTTTATGAACGACTGGGTGTTTAAGGTTAGCGATTTGTCGTATTATCTGGCTATATAGCACGCCCCGCACTAGCTTCATCCGGCACTGCCTCCGCGCCTGGATTTTTCTGTTGCGCGTACTTTGTTTCTTGTTCATGTTTTTGTTTGTTGCGGTTGCACCCGATGCAAGAGCCGCATGGCTCACAGGGCTATACCTAATAAATGAACTGAACTGAAATGTAGGCTTTCGCGACCAATATTATTCACAATAAAGGTTTTTAGGAGGGGCTAGATCACGTAAGTATGAACGTGGATTTACTCTTCAACACACCGGTGGGCTGAAGTAGCAACTAATTGGGACGTTTTGTTTACGTGACAAACCTTCCTCATTGGCCGTGTCGGGTGGTGGCGGGTTAACGACACATTTATAATTACCTGATACAACCCAACAAAAAAAACTTTAGTACGAATAATACATTTATGAGTTCATTTGGGCGTCACACAGTACTCACCTTTTCCTAGATTGACTGCCGTGATAAGGGACGCTCGCTCGTGCCTCGACGCGGTGTCCGCACATCGACCGTTTGCCGCAAAGAATGCGTCGCTCGGACGACTCAGACCGGCCGGCAGCCCAGAGACGCACGCTCACGGGTCCGGTTGCGTTCATGGCCCGGCAACACAAAGTGCCTGAGTTTCCCCTCTCGTGAAGCCCTTTTGAATCAGCCAGTTTCTCTCCGCCCCGCTTTGTCCGTTCCTCTCCCAAGCCCCCTGATGGCCCGTGCCTTGATCAACGTGAGTGACTCACATTCAACCGGTGTTCACCCCACCCCCCAATTACTCTGTTAGCGGAAACTGCTTTCCATTCAACCCGAGGCCTTACCACGCTCGAATTACCCTGCTAAGAGACATTGCATTCATCCCTCGTTGCACAATGACCTTCAAAGCGGCTCAGCTCCACAGGCCCTGGTCCCGTCCTGATTCTACCCCCCTTTCATCATAGGAGCTGGCCGGTATAATTCCCCTGCATATAAGATGTTTGTTTATCAATCCAAGTTAGTTGTCGAAGGGATTGTGTGTGTGTGTGTATAGTGTTTGGAATGTGTTCCCAGCCTTGGCATCACAGTGAGGTCACCAACACTTAGTGGTGAATTACGGCTGTTGTTGTAGTTCTGCCACATGGAACAGCATAATTTCCATAACCCATGTGAGTAGGAAAGAGATAGTAGTATGGGCAAGGAATGTGTCATGATGTCATGACGCTGCAACAAAATCCCCTTGTCTTGCTCCCAGCTTAGGGTCAGGTTGTGTGTTTTGGAGCCGACTTAAACTCCGCTTCTTGTTGTTGTTGTACGGCTGATGTAGTTGCAGAGCCAACCACTACCATTTCACATTTAGGTGGTCAAGCCAGACAATCGCGTCAGGAGCAGCGGAGTGTATCGCTGTGATGTCTCCTTTGCATTTGTGGATCGGGAATTGCATCGTTATATGTTGTACAGTCTGTTCTGTATGACCACAGTCGAACGCTGGAGAGTTTGAATGTTCTATTTGTGCATCAGGTATCCGCATCTGCCATGGTTTGTGCAGATGCGGTTGAAGGTGGACTGTGAGCTTCGCAGAAGATCTAAACCAAAGATATTCTGAGTTGGGTCTTTCATAAGGAACTCCGCTTGTTGAACAGGACAAAGGGTACGCATGGAAAACTGAAGAATACCAACAGTTCATACGGCAAAAAAAAAATTCTTGCTACAAGAACTTTCATGTTAACACATACATTCGTTTAGCTCACGGTTTCAATATGCATTCGTTGATTTAATCAACTGAACAAGATAAAAGGATGGTCATGAGTGAACGGTCAAGATCTGGTAATGCGACAAAGACGTTTATTTTCAACCAATGCGGGTAGACTGCCAGAATAAGATACAAAGCAGATTATGGTGGAAGATTTACGAGACGAATGCTCGACTGAAAACGCGTCACATCATTCGAGTATCTTCTTACTGAGGCTGAGTAAACGACACAGTTTTTAAATGGGGCTGCCACTCGTTTTAGACAACAAAAACAACATTTCAGCGCGTCCTCGATATACCTAAAACGTCAATATAATCGCCCTTTAACTATCCCTAGAACCAGAATTGGAATAGGTGACCAAGTCTTTGCTTCTGTAGCACCAACGTAATGGAACAACTTTGTTTCCTCCCTGAACATCGTAAATCTTCCTTGAAGCAGATGATTAGTGCTGGTTACAAACACATTTGCCAAAGTGATTTGTAACTTTGATCTTTTCCCGTATATCGATGGTTGAATATTGATGTGCAATTTTATGGAAGGCCGACTGCTGTATTATCTTGCTGTGGTTTGGGGCTGTTGTTGTTATTTTGCTGCCTTGTCCAAGCTTGCCTTTAGTGTTCAAAAACTGCCATTAATTAATGTCCTTATGCAATTTGTACCTATATATTGAATGCTTATGTATTTATTGACTTGCTTTCCTTTTCTCTACTTTGCACTCCTATCGGTTTTTTGTTTGTTTGTTGTTGTTGTAACTTGCTGACCCCACCCTATTTGACATCTGTAATAAAGAGCTTCATAGCTCATCGGATTCCTCCAGTATAAATACAAATTCTGATACGAGGTAAGTTCTTGGAAAGGTGCCCAGGTATATCAATTGTGTTAACCAATACCCCATTATTTCTAAGGACATGAACTTTAGCCCAGTGACAGTTTGTCATATTATTTATATAGCTTTTAATAAGAACATATACATTTAGTTTAAAAAATATATAGCAAAAAGGCTAAATACACACTGGAACCACGGGAAGGAATTACACGGCGATTCTGTAACACACAATCCAACACACTGGGCGAAGACCCCGCGGCTGGTCCAGGACACGCTGTGGGGTGATTATGTGGCTTGGCTGGCCTGGGAACGGCTGGAGATTCCCCAGGAAGAGCTAAAGTCTGTGTATAGTATGATAATTGGTTTTTTACCCTTCTATCTGGCAACAAAACTGACACCTTTTTACAAGGAGTCATGTTTGCATAGACCGCAATACCTGCAGTCATAATACAAACAAAAGAACATAACTCTGATAATGTGCGGTCTATGCAAACATGACTCCTTGTAAAAAGGTGTCAGTTTTGTTGCCAGATAGAAGGGTAAAAAACCAATTATCATATTTTTACTGGCAAATGAGGTTCCCATAGTCTGTGTATAGTAGTGTAGTAGTGAATAGTAGTGTAGTGTGTAGTGTAGTGTATAGTAGTTTATAGTGTATATTAGTGAATAGTAGTGTAGTGTATAGTGTAGTGTATAGTAGTGTGTGTAGTGAATGGTAGTGTATAGTGAATGGTAGTGTAGTGTTGTCGTGTATAGTGTAGTAGTGTATAGTAGTATATAGTGCAGTGCATGGTAGTGTAGTAGTGTATGGTAGTGTAGTAGTGTATAGTATTCTTGGTTCTTTCGGTAAAGTCACGTAGAAGGGAAATAATAAAATAAAGAAAAAACAAGAATATATATTTTATTATTTTATTATTTCCCTTCTACGTGACTTTACCGAAAGAACCAAGAATATGAATCACTGCAGTCACGAAAGCTTTAAATCAAAATTTATAGTGTATAGTGTTTAGTAGTGTCGTGTATAGTAGTGTATAGTGTAGTAGTGTTGGAGTCTGTCGCCAGGCAAAGGGACGTCTGGACCGCCACTACTCAACACGCTGCCGCCGCGACCCTGACCAGGAAAAGCGGATTGATGAACAAGCGCACAAACAATCCAACACTGCAGGAGTCGTTATGCAGTGCAGGGCTCAACTGGACGCTGCACATCCCATTGATGTCTCTGCGCAGCGTGCAGACGCAGCAGCGAACAGCAGCATTGCGCTGTACGCTGTTTAAAATTAAAGCTTCGGGAGTCCGATTTCTTGTTGTTAATTGTGTTTTTTTAGGGTTCCCTACAAAACCTCCTAATATGTGCATGACACAGTATATCCACCCACGTTCATGTTTATTATTATGTGCCTTATAACAACACGTAAAGATGTCTAGTTCACTGTCGCCCACACCTTGCGAAGCCGCAGATTGCTAAACGCTTTGGGAATCATCTTCTTCAAGCGGCTCTTGGCCACTTTCCTCAGCTCTTTGGTTCTGAAGAAGTAGATGCTGACATTCGCGATCGGCAGTATGAAGCTGACAAACTCGGCAACGCAGCGAATGTTTCTCGCCTGAACGCTTTGCGAATCCCTGACGAGTCGCGGCACCAGCACAGCGATGAACAGCGAGCCGAAGAAAACCGAGAGCAAAAAGAAGTGGGTGAGCAAGGTATGCACGGCCTTGCGCTTGAAGTCACGCGACCGTGTCCTCTTGCACTCGATGATAATCCTAGCGTACGTGTGTCCTATTACGCACAGCGGTAACGCGTAGAGGGTCACCACGAAGGCCAAGATGTACGTCTCGTAGACGCGCGTGTCACCGATGGACAGACGAACAAACCCCGAGTAATCGCAGAAAATGCCCGGCATCTGCCTGCCGTCGCCTTTCAGCGTCAGCGACGTGACGAGGATCGTGAGCGGCGCGAGGGCGGCCGTCACGAGGCCCCACGCGGTCAAAATCGCGAGCAGCGTCCGTTTACCAGTCACGATGGCGTGGTAGTGCAGCGGGTGGCAAATCGCCACGTAGCGATCGAAGGACATGACGGCCAGAGTGAGACACTCCATGCAAATGAACACGTTGATCCAAAACATCTGCGCGGTGCAGGACGAGCGCGGAATCCGGTTGTCGCCCGTCAGGAGGATGTGAAGCTGTTGGGGCAAACTCACCGAGCAGCCAATGAGGTCAGCCAGCACCAGGTTACACATGAAGGCGTACATGGGCTTGTGCAGGTCTGTGGAGACTGCCACAACCACCAGCACCAGCAGGTTGGCGGTGACGGTGACGACGAACATCAGCAGCAGCAGGCTGACAGCGAGCGCCCGTACGCCGTAGGAGGTTTCGAATGTTCCGAGTAAAATGAAAGTGTTGTTGCTATTTTCCATTGCCTCCGTCAAATGTAATGTGCGATATTAAGGATTTTTGTAAAATTCAATAATCTCTCAAATCCTGTAAGTTCCGAGAAAAAAAAACACCCCCAACTTAACAGACATATTATGCTGTTCATCAAAATAACAACTCACTAAACATTACACTCTCCACTACTGACAAATTTAAATGCATATCGACTCTGACTTAAAAAAAAATTCCACCTTTAATATCCCAGGAACGGGTCCATTTGTCCACAATGCCAACCAATATTGCGCGAATTGCCGTGTGTGGCGTGTTAAACTCGTCCATGTGCAGCTCTTTAGCACCGCACTGCAGGAATGAGATCATCCCCATGCAGGATGGGTTAAACAATGATACTTTTGCCATGACGGTGCAGGTTCGTGAAGATAGGTGAGGACCTACAAGAACATTTTCCACCTTCAAGGCAACGTCACAAGTCAATAAATTATGGGAGGAAACAAATATTGATTGAACGTCACCCACATGGACAAAACATATGGTTCACAACACCCACTACCTATCAATGCAAACCATCACACGAGGTTGCATTGACCACAATGATAGGCAGCTGAGCTGTGTTATCTATATTTGCAATATTGGCTGAATAATTTTAGTTATTTCTACACGGCTGTTTTACCAATGAAAAATATTGCCGTGCAATATTTAAAATTATACGTCACACCATCATTCGGTGTTCAAAACACTGCTCTCAGTCAGTTTAACAACATGGCTAAATCTTGATTTGAAGCCTTCGTCACTGCAGGAATCCATACTCTTTGGTTCTTTCAAAACAAGTCACGTCGGTATAAAAATAGAACAAAAAATAATATATCACGACGTTTCTATCGCAACACAAGCGGTCGTCCGCTAAATCAGCGGTTCCACTGCTGGATTATTTTTTTCCGCCTGAGGACGATCGCTTGTGTTGCGATCGAAACGTCGTGATATTTTATTTTTTGTTTTATTCTTATACCTACGTGACTTTACCGAAAGAACCAAAGAGTAAACATGGCTAAACATCAGGGCGTCTGTGCCCTTGGTTTGATTTGCCATATTTTAACGTGAGATAAATAGGTGCTGTATTTCATATTAAGGTTAAGTAGCTGGAGGCACCGTAATTGCGATGCGCTCCAAGCTGATCAGGTAAGGGTGCGGCTGACCGATGCACTGCTCTGGAATCTTACCTCGGAGGCGGGCCCTTCACAGTAATGTGCTCAGTGCGTTCACCGGCTGCGTATTTATACACCTGTGAGCATCACGTGGTCACTGCGTCTAACGACTTGCGGGTCATGTGCTTATTCATTAATCCTTCAATGCAAAGGAATGTAATTTCCTTAACAACGCCCCTGTGTAAAACGCTTCTCGATGAACTGCAGTTTAATTTGGTTCTCGTACAAACGCGTCCCAAGCGTCTCCTTGAGGTGGCCTGGCAGAGTGGACTACGCGCACTGCCACTGAGCCAACTAACGCTTCACATGGAGGGACAGATAAGTGGAGGCTTATTATCTGCCCATATATTGTGCATCGTGTCGTGTTGTTTGATGAGACTACGGGGCGTATAGTAAGTGTGATTTTATAGTTTACATGCTAGCCTTCAGGTGTATCATCCTAGCCTTCAAGCGTCCCAATGATAATGCAATAAAATTGAGTTAGTCTACCCAACACGGGATAAATAGAGATTCATATAAATGTGCACAAAAACGTGTTGTGTGACGTCCGCGACCTATCGCATTGCAGTAAAAAAATAATGACCGCATCCATAGCTCGTGTTGAACCTGGGAGCTGGCTTGTGAGCTACGCTACCTGATCGCACATGCGCTGGCAGAGGAAAACACTTTTCAACGTATTCTTGGTTCTTTCGGTAAAGTCACGTAGAAGGGAAATATTAAAATAATAACAATAAAACTATCAAATTATTACGACGTTTCGATTGCAACACAATCAATCATCATCAGGTGTGAAAACCACAGCAAGAATTTTTTTTTCAAATTTTCTTGCTGTGGTTTTCACACCTGATGATGATTGCTTGTGTTACAATTGAAACGTCGGGAGAATGTTATTGTTTTATTTTTATTTTCTTATTATTTCCCTTCTACGTGACTTTACCGAAAGAACCAAGAACATGAATTCCTGCAGTCACGAAAGCTTTAACTAGAAACTTTTCAACGTGTTTTACAACGTCCCCTGTACATTGAGCAGTCCCCCCCTTTTTTAACCTCCTCCCGTTCCCCTCTCAAAGCCTCGCCTCACCTCTTCCCTCCCCTTGCCCTCCACTCCTTGCCGTCCCTCCCCTGTCTTTTCCTACCCCTCTATCGTTGTTGTCACTCGTTCAGCAATCCTTGTCGCACGCTCCTGCCAACGGCACTGTTAAATTCTGTCACCGTTGTGTAAGTTGTTGCTCAGTGCCTTGAGCGAAGGCGCTCGATATAACTGTACAATTAGATTAGATTATTTTGTCAATTATGTTCGGTAAGGCATCGCATAGTTTCTACAACTTGCAATATTCACACTAACAATTTGTACAAGTTACAATAATATTTATTCTAACCTAATTATTACATTGTACACCACCGTGTGCGTACTGAAAAATAAGAATAGGTTTAACCCTTTTTGGCAATTAAACAGCAGGTGTTGAGATGTTCAAACACCGTGGAATCAAGTCTGCATTACCCCACACGTACTTGTGGTGAACATGCAAACAAACATGCTCTGATAATTTTTGCAATGTCTTTGAAACTGATTGGCCTACACCAGAGACAGGGCCTCTCTCACCAGTGTTAGACCAGAGAATGCTAAGGCAAACAGCACAAAGACAATGCACGTATCAGAGCAATTATAGCGCGGAGTGAGCAGCTATACCATGGGATACCTTTTTGCCATTATGAAAGTATGACAGCATAAGATTAGTTTTACCCTTTGATCTCATCAACCATCGTGCCTCTTGGAATCACTGGTAACGCTTGGCGAAAATCACCAGGAAGGACAACAATCAAACCGCCACGAATGTCTTGCAGTATTCTGTTGACGTGCTTATGCATCATCGAGATGTCATCCCAGAATGACGCTTTAGCTTCCAGCAGTACTTTGGCCTTTCCACTTCCTTTCTTGATGTTGCAAACGGGCACTTCATTATGGACCAAGTCCATCTGGATTTGAAGCATTGAATGCGCTGTTCGTCCACCAGTCATCAACGTTGCAGCGATGCCAGAAGATGTAACAGCAAGTGCAATCTTCTTTTCTCCTCTGATGCGGGCCAGCAACAAATTGATCAACAAGGCTCTCCGGTTCCTCCAGGCGCGTCAATGAAAATTACTCCGCCTTTGTTGCTGTAATATCGTCGTAGAACCTTTGATAAAGAGTTTGTTGCTCTGTATTCAACAGTGACTCGGTTCTGCGCCACATAACCAAGCATTTTGTCACAGTCATATGACAACTCTCGACGCATTTCTCGAGTCATGTTCACTGCTTGCTGTCATGAAGGACTTTTCATGCCGATCTCCGACAAAGACTTTCCAATCATCTCCAAAGAGTATCTTCAATCATGATAAGTGCCTCATTATAGATGTCATCAGTGACTTCCAAAGTCATTTGAGGATTATCTCGTCGAAGTCTATTCAAAATGTCTTCAGACATGCAATCTTTGTAGCTCTCCAAAAGTGCTTTAGAATTTGATGGTTCACAAAACAACAGGATGACTGTGAAGAGAGTTCAGATTTTTGATGGTGAATCCGATTCCTTCACTTCCTTCAATGGATCGTCCCATTGATTGTCGTTCTCTAGTAGTCCCAATGCCAAGCAAGCTGCATGATACGTGTCGTGTTCAACTCAATCGACTGTTCGGAGATCCTTGAAGCAAGTTGGGCGCAACAATGGAATGATCCAGCGATTATCAATTTCCACATCCTCCGACTTCATTTTGATGGTTGTCGTTTTTCCATCATCTTCAGGTTTACGGACGATGATACAATGGGTAGCCATCTGTTAATGTTTCGTTTCCTTGATGAATTGATGTGGAAATATCTTGCTGCACATCTTATCCTTCATGCATTGAGACTGCCAATTCAAAGCGCCGCAAGGACCATGTTTTTAAAGACGATGTCGTGAAGATTCTTATCGGTGTCCGGATCGGGAATTTCAGCAGAGATGATGGCTTGATTTGAAGCTTTCGTGACTGCAGGAATCCATACATAATAGATCACGACGTTTCGTGATCTATTATTGTTTTCTACCTACGTGACTTTACCGAAAGAACCAAAGAGTAAAGATGATGTCGATTTGATTTGTTTTGAGTACAATCGTCAACCAAATCGAAATGTGTGCATGTGGAAGACCTCTTTTTTGCCACTCGACAGAATAAAGCCAATATTTAACCGAGCCAAAAACTTCGCCTTTGATGAGAAAATTCATGAATTTGATGAGCTTCTGCTGCAAAATTATTGCCACCAAATCATGTCGGTTCGTTTTTGATTGTCCGTTAATCAAATTCTCTTCCATCTCCTTGCAATTCGGATTGAACGTGTACATGATGAATAATGACGACTTGCCTCCATGACGAACGTAGGTGATGGCGTCTTGTGCATATTCATGCATGTGTCGTGGCCCTCTGGTATATGTTGATGGCAGAATCACTAACTTGCCGTCATTTTCTGCATTGCCATCGTTCACAATCGCATCTTTCAAGTGAATGTAATCATCGACACGAAGCTTATTTTGGTTCAATCGGATGAAGAGCAATCTTTCAGTCTCAATCTTGGTATACATGTTCTTTGGGTCTTTCGGTAAAGCCACGTAGATAGAAAAATACTAGAATTAATAAAATAAAAATAATAATATCACGACCTTTCAATCGCAACACAATAAATTGTCATGAGGTGAAAAATATAGTGGGAGGGCTGCTGAGGCAGGAAAGAATATATGTCGGGAGCGCTGCTAAGGCAGGGAGTTATACAAATTTGAGATGGGTGTAGCCCAAGGGTCAGTGGGCGGGGATAGA